CTATCTATCTATCTATCTATCTATCTATCTATCTATCTATCTATCTATCTACCTATCTATCTTTCTATATATCAAATTTGTCACTGCCCATCTTGTTGAAACGACTCTGGGTGGTTTACAGCAGAGATAAAATCAATTAAATATAATATAAAAACAATCAATAATAAATAAATTCCAAGAATGATGGAGAATTGCCATCCTTTGTCTGATTGTCACTGTCAAAATTCAGCTTTTGCGAGAGTCATATTCATAATTAGATCTGTCCAATATCATTTTAAATATAAGCCGGATTTGATCTTGATGAGCCCCTGCATTAAAATTACAAACCATGAGAACATAATCCACTGATTCTACCTCTTCACTATTGCAATAAAATCTTTTGCAGTAGAGATTTCCTCAAATCTACTTTCAGCATATATGATGTTAAGATACTTAATCTAGCCTTAATAAAAGTTATCCAATGTTAAATATGGCTTGATTATTTTTATGTGGTATATTTATGTGCAGTTATTGTTTGCTTTATGTGGAAATTGCAAATGTCCTTCAAGGAAGTATTTCCAATTCAGAATTATTGCATTGTCCTAGTAGTCACATAGTAATATCCTTTTGCTGGGAAAATGCTTTATTCGTCTACAAAATAGCCATATAATAGGAAATAACAATAGCCAAATAATAACAGTTTGGAATGTTTTCTGGAATATGTCCTATGGAATAATGCTCACCGATAAGTAATCACACCATTCCTTTATGGGGTATGTTGTGATACTGTCCATTTAATAAACAGAAAACCTGCAAGGGAATTTCTTTGAGGCAGGTGCATTTTAGCCAGTTACCTTGTCTAGACAGTTGCTTTGGAAGTAATTGAAATAACTACTTTGATTCTTATTCCATCATGGTTTGTGATTCTTCAGTTCTTTAGAAGAAGAAAGAAATCCACAGATGAAAGCAAGAGGTTGTGCTAGAGTTGAGTGTGCTGCTTGATAGAATTTCTAATGTAATGCTTCTGGTGGTAGTCATTTTAATTTGACTATCTTCTGGGTACTCTACAAAGCTTATATTGGATTAATAACATTTTATGTTCGCAATTTCTGCAGCTGTCATTCAGCTAGAAAAACCATTGTTTAATCAGTGAGAAAAGTTTGATTCAAGAAATCCCTCCAGTAGCACTTTCTAAAGACAAAATAAATATTAAAAGAAAAAGAACAAGTCAAGGGAATTTAAGTCATTCAGCTACAAGCTGGTACATTCCCTTGCTTTCATGTCTAGCTGTACCAAATGGTGTAAAGAAATGAATTTTAAAAATTAGAATATGTGGTTTTCTTTCTACCAGAGTGGAAATAAAGTGTCAATATCCACTACACCTTTTGAGAACACATCAATCAAAGTGGGGCCAGCTCGGAAGGCCAGTTATAAATCGAAAATGGCTAGAAGGAATAAGAAAAGCAAAACAAAAGATGGGCAGGAAAGGTTAGTAAAATTGAAGTAATTTCTAATAATAATTGTCAATATATGGAAATTATAGTCACAAGTTATTTTTATGTCACAAAAGTTATATGAAATCAAGAATGGATCATATCCATAGTTCTAGAACTATAGTTGAATCTTAGCATGCTTTCATTTTCTGCTCGGTTTCTTATTATTTATAAGACATTTTATTAAAAAATAACTCTTATTTACCACTTGATATAAATTATTATAAATAATGAACTAACAGACCTTATGGGTTTGATTTTGTTTGCTTCTCTTGCTAGTGATTACAGGAAGTTAAGAATGACCAGGTTAGATGACCCATAGTTAAGAACGGAGCCTATTCTGGCAAAATTCGAGTTAAATACACAATGATTTGAGTTAAATACACAGTGGTTGAAGTTCATTACACAATACTACTTATACAGTATTATACAATAATACTGTTCCGGCTTACGTACAAATTCACCTTAAGGACAGACCTTGGGAACGGAACGCATTCTTAAACTGGGGACTACCTGTACCCTTATTTTTTATTTTTCCAGTAAGAAGAAGAGCTCGCTATTCAGGAAGATTACTAAACAGGCCTCTCTGCTTCACACAAGTAGAAGTTTATCTTCCCTCAACCGTTCTCTGTCATCTGGGGAAAGTGTTCCTGGTTCACCTACACACAATCTCTCTCCTCGTTCACCAACACAGAGTTACCGATCTACTCCTGAGTCTGCACATTTAGGTAAAAAGGGAATAGTAAATGGAAGACTTGAATCAAATACTTCCAACTTAATGTATTTTCTTAAACTGGAGGGCTTAGGAGGGGAGTGTTTGATAAACCATCAGGGTTCCCTTGTGAACCATAAACCCCTAGAAGAGATGAAAGAGTTTGCTGCAAGCAGACTGACAAATCATGGTGAGGTCTATAAGATACCAGGAAAACACAGCCCAAGCAGCTAGTCAGGCAAGTTGCCAGAAGCAGCAAGGTGCTCCAAGGCATTTACTAGTGTGAGAGTGTTAAGAGCTTAATAATATTAAGAAGCATGAAGTGTTAGATACCATGAAATACTATTTAGGATGTTTTTGCAACTTGCACATTTAATTGCTATTCTATATTTTATTTTTTTTTAATAACTAATTTACTTTTTGACATAAATACTATCAAGATAGCCTCCCCAATATGAGAGTGAGTGAATGCATAAACAGTTAAAATTACAATGTTATTTAACAAAATTTATATGTATAAATAATTCTACAAATAAGCTTCCTGGAAGAAAAATCCTTTTTTATCCCAAAGGTTAGGATATAAAGTTTATAACAGACATAAGAAAGCAGAATAGCTAGAATATGCAGCTCCTAAGTTAATTCTGAAAGAGTATATTTAGTATGCAAAAAAAGAATGGCCTCCAAAAGACAACTAAGACATGCTATAAAATAATACTGTACTGCAATGCATTTGTGAGGAATAAAGTATGGTCAGTTGTGCTTCATCTTTTCTATTGCATTGGCCTTCATTTTTCTAAATTCAGCCTCCTTGTTGCCAGATTTCAACAGCTAATTTATTTCATATATGATGTACATGTAACAAGAATTTCTGATGCTTCTCAAAAACTTTGAATGCTTGTGATTTAATGTTCTCCTCTTTTGATGTTCACAGTTGGTGGAAACTCTTCTCAGAGCAGTTCACCTAGTTCCAGTGTTCCCAATTCTCCAGCTAGTTCAGGGCATATCAGGCCCAGTTCCTTGCATGGGCTAGCACCAAAACTTCAACGACAGTATCGATCTCCAAGACGTAAATCAGCTGGAAACATTCCTCTTTCACCACTAGCTCATACACCTTCACCCACTCCACAATCCACATCACCTCAACGTTCCCCTTCTCCTTTGCCAGGACATTCAGTCGGCAGTTCAAGCATCATGCAGTCTTTCCCTGTAAAGTTACATTCCTCCCCACCTCTGGCCCGGCAGATTTCAAGGCCGAAGAGTGCTGAACCACCAAGATCACCTCTACTGAAAAGAGTCCAGTCAGCTGAAAAACTGACATCTTCACTGTCTTCCTCAGATAAAAAGCTGTCCTCTTCACGTAAGCATAGCTTGGATATTTCCCATTCTGAATTAAAAAAGGACATGCTCCAGAGAGATCCAGGGCTCCAAAGTTGGCAGGAATCAATAAATGAAACATCTGGAGGTAAAGTTGGGCCAGCAGAAAAAGGGACACTCCAAAAACCTTCCCGAAAACTTGGAGCCATTCGGCAAGATAGGGTAGAAAGAAGGGAATCTCTACAGAAGCAGGAGGCCATTACAGAAGTAGATTCTTCTGAAGATGAAACCGATGAAGGATCAGAAGATAGTCAAGATGGGAAAAGATTGGACAGGCCACCCTTCATTAGAGAACACCAATTTTGTGATCCTTTTACTGAGGATATGAAGCACTGTTCCAGATTAGAAAGCAAAGATAGCATGGAAGACGATGCTTTTCTTCCTGAGGAACCAAAAATGGGCAATGTGCAGAATGAGGTAAATCAGCCACAACAAAAGGATGTGGAAAGGGCATTGCTGACTGGCAGAAATGAGTCCCAGTCTGAAGTTTGTGCAATATCTTCCTCTATAGGAAAACTTGAGGACTGTGAACCAACACGGCTAATATCAGAATCCAAAACTGCATCAGAGTCAATACAAGGTAAGAAAGTTGTTGTTCAACAGGACACCTGTATTAAAGATGCTAAAGATTCTAAGGAAATACCAATTATCCAAAAAAGTACAGATGGTCCAGAGCAGATGAAGTGCCTCCCAGTGAGATTCCTACAGCTTGGTCAAGGTGACTGCTCAGAAATAGCAGGTGACAAAGATAATACAAAGGAATCTGCTTCTGAAGAAGCCACCTATCTATTGTTTCATGATAAAATGCCTTTGTTAGCACTTTCTTCTTCTTCTTGCACAACTAACACAAGCTCTCTTCCACTAGTAAGCCAAATAGACTGCAAAGACACACCTCAGAATCAGGAATACCAGCCTATGAAGGAGAATGCTAGTACTGAGAATCTGACAAACAGTGGCAAAGCTTTTGAACAAATGTCTCCTAAAGTTGAAGAACAAGTGTTGTCATCTATAGTGGGAATTTCAAAACACAGAAGTCACACAAGTGATAAAAACCTAAGTTGTCCTACAGGTAGCACAACTTTTATTCTTGATGCCTCAATTGAAAGTGGAAAAACAGTTTGTCCAGCTCATTTGACAAGTGCAAACAGTACATCGAGTGCAATGGGATTGAACATCTCCAGCTCAAGAAAAGGAGAAAAAAATAGAAAAGATAAAAGTCTGTCCAAGCAAGAGGAGACACTGCTGGAAGATCTGGATCCAGAATCAGCCAAAACTTTCACTATAGGTGATGTCATTAAAATGTGTGATTCTCACATTACATCAGAAAGTCCATTGTCTTGGGAGTCGGAATGTCAGGTAATACCAAAAGAGAAGTCACAGGCTGGTATTTCTGATGCTTCTGAAATTTTGGAAGACAGATGGCAACTACCTCCACTTGAAGATCAAGCAGGGAAATGGAGCATGAGGATTTCTTCTGGACCAGATGATAGTTTGAGTTCTAAAAAGGAGACTGCTTTCATGCCAGGAAAAATCAGTGAGGCTGGAGGTCAGTCACAAACAAAAGACTTCCTGGTGTCAAAAGCTGATGCTGTGAAAAAGAATAGAGCAGCATCTCCACTCAGAAACAAAGACAACATTAGTTGAACTCAAATATAAATCAAGAAACCTGTACATCTATTTTTTGTAGATTTGTGTTTCATACACTTGCCTTTTTCATTGCAATTCTATTTTTGTACAACGTTTGCCATTTGATCCCTCTTTACAGGGTATCTTTAGAGCAAAATTACCCCTCCTTTTTCTTTTAATTTGGAGCATCCTGTGCATTATCTTTTCAGTGTTTTTCTTTTTCTTTTTTTCCGCATAATGTCAGTGAGTTTTATTTACCATACAAGGCTGCTTACTTGAGAAAGATACATTTTGACACCAGCTCCAAATGTTTGTCCTTATTTCCAGAATTTAATTTCTTTACATTGATAGGGATAAATAAATAAATACTATTTATGGATTCTTCTACAGTTCTTAATGCCACTGCATACCTTTTTTCCCTTACATATTGTTGTCTCCCACAACTATCTGTGGAGGAAGGTTTGTTAGCTAATGCAGTGGATCAGTATCTTTTTTAGAGGTCCACCTGAACAACTTGTCAAAACAGATTTTGGGTTTGGGTTCTTCTCCTTCTCCATTTTTTTTTCTTTGCCTTAAAAATAGTATGACACTCCATCTTTGGGGAATTTTTAATGCTAGTTGCCTTACCAATCTTACCTTGCTCAGAGCAAGCAAATATTTAAAAAGAGGTACAAGGTACTTCCATTACTATAGCTCTAAGTGAATTAGCAGCTCCCTAGTGTAGACACTGCTGGAGAAAGTGAGCAACTGAGACCATCCCACCCTACCTGTTGTTTGTGGCTTTATGGCTCACAATGGAAATGGTTAACATCCAGCAGGAAAGTTCTGATTTGATGGGAACAACTAATGGGAAGGTACTGTGTTTATTGGTCAGGGAAGGGCAGAGGTGAACCACTAAAAGTGAAGTAGCCCTTATAGCTTCAGTGAGTAACTATTTAGGGAAAAATCTCCAGTATCATACAAATGAACTATATTTTATTTGTTTAATTTACCTACTTTTCCAAAATGCCTATGCTTTCTTAGAATCCTTTTGATACTTTTTGAGAGTGCAACATTGTTTGGTGCTTTTTTTCAAGGACAGCTAAGTCTATAACAGTGTTTCTCAACCTCAGCAACTTTAAGATGCGTGGACTTCAACTCCCAGAATTCCCCATGGGCTGGCTGGGGAATTCTGGGAATTGAAGTCCACGCATCTTAAAGTTGCTGAGGAATTCCCCATGGGCTGGCTGGGGAATTCTGGGAATTGAAGTCCACGCATCTTAAAGTTGCTGAGGAATTCCCCATGGGCTGGCTGGGGAATTCTGGGAATTGAAGTCCACGCATCTTAAAGTTGCTGAGGTTGAGAAACACTGGTCTATAACACTGCACTGATACTATACACACAGTAAAGCAATAGAAAAATTCAATACCATTACTTATTATAGTTTAAAGGCAAAAGTAGGTATTTCATTCCCCGCCCCCCAATACTTGTGAATTTAACTCATAGTCTCTTGTAACAGAATATATCTGTATATGTGAACAGGCAAAATAGTTACTTGTATAGTCTGATAGTCTACAAATGCTGAAGTGATCACATGATGTATGAAATAATTCTGAAGGGCAAACCCTGTAGTTAATTACAGTACAGCTTCATCATTCTGCTATGTTGCAGATATCGACTCTCTTCTTGCACCATTTCTCTTCTCCAAATCAGCATTTACTTTTTAACTAGGAACATTCTCTTTAAACTTTATTAACTTCATCATCACATTTCAAGCAACTTGAACACTTCCGCCCCGCTTCCCCTTCCAATATTTAGTACATAATTTTAGATTCTTTGTTTTCAGTTTTGGACCAACTTATTTTTGAGCTGGGATTGTTTTAACATTAACCACTCTGAGTGTGTGATGTGTGCTTGAATGTGTGTAGAAGAAGAAATGCCCTCTATATGTGGCAGTGCTATAAAAAAATCCATTGGCTTTTTCATATATTAACTTGAAGCTTCTGAATTTCACCAATAATATTACTCATAATAATCTCATGAGATAGGATTATCTGGTTTATCCTGCCACTTATGCATATAACTAAGCTTACGCACTGTTCTCCAGGTCTATGTTTTACCATCCTTTTCTGTGTTTTACAATCCTGTTATTTTGCTGCAGTGCTCTCCAATAGACAAATATATTTAGAAAAAGGGGATTGTTGATAATATGAGTTGATGGCTTAGCCACTTAGAACTTGAATAATGTAAAAACAAAAAACAAAACCCTTAATGTCTGATTTATACTATATTAATTTGAGGCCTGGGTCAAATAATGTACTTTATAGCATTAGTATACAGAAAAACAGCCAAAGGATTTGCATCTCTAGTTTAGCCTACATAGGCTATGTATGTATTCTCACTTAGGTACTACCTTTTTGATATGCCTATTTTACTATAACCAGGAAACCTCTTAAAGGCTGCAGAAGCCTTTTTCTTTTACTGCTACTTTTCCAGCTATGGATCTATATTAATAACATTAGAGATCAAAAGAAAGGAAGCTCCATTTAAGCCCCATAGCAGAGAGAGAGAGAGAGAGAGAGAGAGAGGAGTGCTGACAATCATGATGACACAGAGGGCAAAATTCAGCATCTGAGAAGCACTTGCAGGCATCAAGCCTGCCGGAGGTGGCCTATAATGGATGAGTAGAAACTATTACCATATTGAGGGAAGAGATACTATCTATTTATAGTCCAGCTAAACCATTTGGTGATGACCTGGTTAGCCAAGATTTCATGTTTTGTGAATAGGATTAAAAATTATATTTTAGGCATCGGATACATGCAGCAGCCATCTTAATCTACTGTTTGTCTAGTTTCTCTTTCAGTTTGGATAACTGAACTTCATTTTTTCCCTCAGACAACCTTAAAACTTTCCATATCCGGCTGATGTATTCCTTGACCATGCTTCACAGAATCTAAGATTACCAGATTGATATTTAGTGTAAATATTAGATCAGTGTTTTTCAACCTTGGCAACTTTAAGATGTGTGGACTCCAACTCCCAGAATTCCCCAGCCA